AACGTGATTTTTCAAATCCTAGTTTTGGGGTTAAAGTTGTGATTCTCCTCCTTTTCGTGACTTTAGTGAACATCTCCTCATGTTTCTGAGTGAAGAAAAATCCAGTGTTTGTGCTCAGCCCGGCACTGTGAATGGAAAACAAAGAAAGTTAGTCGTACTGTTTCAAACAGGACTGCTCTAGCGTGTTCTGTGCACGATTTTACACTGAGATTTGATTCTTTCTCCTGATGGAATGGCACGTCACAGATTATTAGTTCAAGGGTTATTGGAAAGTTGAAGTTCATGATGATTTTTGGTGTTTTTGCCAATTGTTAACCCATGAATTAAGTCATTTTGGCAATATATATATTTTTTTCCCTTTCTAACCCACCAGCCTGTTTTGGGATTCTGAGAGATAATCCATTCATGCACCTTCTGCCAGTTATCTATAGTAATTAATAATCCATATTCTCTATTTCTGTCATACTTTATGATCACATTCTGATTGCTGAATAGGTGTTAAATTGCTTTATGTGGGTTTTTAAAGGAATCACATTTAACTTGGTGAACCTGCAGACACCTGAATAATCGAATAATTACTTAAACATTCTCTGGTTTGAGCTCCTCTAATGTAGATCTTCTCTGCTCATTATCTTTGTGAAGTGAATATCTTTGGCCTCTTTAAATTTGAATTTCTTGACATTTAACCGTCAGCTGCAGCCGTCCTTCACTTATTTCCTGCAGCAGATAATCCGTGATTCCTACGCTGGATTTCAGATAAAGACGGTCTCAGTGTGAAGCTTCTCCTCTTAGTGGCTGAAAACTCAAACAGGAAACTGTGTGTGTGTGTGTCTGTGTGTGTGTGTGTGATTGCCGTATGAGATGTTAATAAAGACAAATCGTCTCGTCTGCTGCTTGAATTTCTGCACTGAAAACACGAATCAGGTTCGAGGTCGAGTCCTCGGGCCGCTAATGATCCGACCCGGGTCCCTCCCGTGTCGGAGCGTCACTGTGGGGGCTGCTGGGGCTGCTGGGTAATGACTTGGAGCGGCTCTGCGAGTTAAACAGGAAGCCGAGAACGAGTGAAGATGGTGGAGAGTAATGGAGCGCCGGCAGCTCTCCGGTGTGGTCTGTTGCTTTATTTACTGCTGCTGCAGTTCGTCCCCGAGCTGGAAAAAGTTCATTAAAGACAAACGATGACGGAGTGAATCGGTGAAGAGTCTGTGAGTGAACAGAAGCTGGTTTAGATGAACAGACAAGAAGCCACTGATGTGTTGAGACAGATTCATGAGCACAGATCAAGACTCTGACAGAATGATAGACTTATGCTTTTGTTTTATGCAAATTATGACTTTGCATAATGTAAAAAAGAGAGTTAAGAACCTGCAGCGAGCTTTCAGCCCCTCTGCAGCTCACTTTAACTCCTACATTTGGTCTTATAGCTCATTTCCAACAGATAGAGACGAGCTAATGAACACAATGGAGCTTTAAACTGCTGGTGGAGACCAAAGACAGAGCTAAAAGAACAGTTCTGTGAACCAGTCAGCTGACTGTTTTGGTCCTTTTCAACCAAATTCTAATTGGTCAAACAATCACTGATGTTACTTTCACATGGATTAAAGCCCTACATCATTGGCCCTCCAGGAGTAATCCACATTTCTTGTGGCTTCCTGTGAACACCCCAATGTTTTCAACACTTTTAACTCAGACTACTTGGTCTAACTTGTGTTTCTTGAACATTTATTTGGCTTCACAGAGATAAAACAACAACCATAAGCCAAAAAAATAGCAATAAAGAGACACTAAAAGACCAGAAAGAGACGCACGCTAACTGACATTGCATCAAAGAAGTCGTCACGTGGCTGCATTTTGTTCTAACTGATGTACAGAAAGTCAGATGTGAACTTTGCAACCAGCAGCCATGAACTTGTTTGTTTGATTCCTCAATAGTCGTGTTGATGGAATCACCAGGTGAAATAGTTTGATTTTTGGAAATCACATTAATATGTGCAGGTGGTACATTAGCATTTCAGCTGATAACAAGCAGGTGGAAATGATTTCGAATGATTTTTTGAATGATAAATTAGAATTCATTTGGGCTAATAAGGATAACAGCAGGAGTGCACTCAGTTCACTGTGGAACATTTAGTTTATTGTTGTTTTTTCCCTGCAACTAATCACCTGGTTGAAGAGCAGGTGTGGTGGAGACCCAAAGCAGAGCTAAAAGTGAGGAAATATTTAACTCAATTGGATGTAAATGCAAAAAATGAATGACAGTGTTGCAGCACTAACTGCTGCTAAACAACTATTTTTGTTAGGAATTTTAAATACATGGATGTTTTAAAACCTCTCCAGCACCTAGAAAGAAGAGTTTTGCTTCGTCTACGTCGTCTCAGTGTGAAGTCTTTGGGCTGCACAACACCGAAGCAAAACTACAAGCCCGAAAACTTTCATTCATGTGGGCGAATGCCGTCTTTTTCCGTCCGGCATCCACTTCTCCTGGTATCCAGGCGTAGTTTTAAAACCACCGCTGGTTGGCTTTCTCCTGGCAACCCGCCAGACCGTTCACATGCTCTGCAGAGCCAGATTTCAGCCGGACTCTCAGGACGTCCAGCCTCCACAGCAGGCACTCTGACTGCTGGCTGCCTGTTGAGCTGTTTGTTTGCGAGCTGAGGACTGTGGTGGTTTGAGTTCTGCTGCCCTGAACTTCTGGTACTTTTGGTTGTCCGTGGGTCATGCACAGTTGAGTTTCATGCGTCTGAGTTGGAAAAAAAACCCCCAAAAACTTTCTCAGACTTGACTCTGTCTGGCTGTCTGGTTCTGCAGGAGTCAGACTGCTACGAGCGGTTCGTTCTGCCGCTGAAACAAACACTGAGTCTTAATTCTCCAATTAAGCAGCTAATTAGAGCCGAGATCCACAACAGACGTCTGGTTTGTGGCAACAAAACATAGTGAAATCCAGCGCAAGTGGTGTGAAATGTGTGAAATCTAAAAAAAAAAAATGTACACAAATGAGGTGATTATGAAGAGAGTCAGACACATGCTGTGTTTCCTCCAGCTCCCCTTCTTCTTCTTAAACTCCCAAATCCAACATCAGCAGCTGCAAATTGAGCTGCTGTGTTTTTGTTTCCCCACACTGGGACGGTTTGATGTCTTTTCCCTCAGAGTTATAATCCAGTTCTCTCTCAGTGTGGCTGCTTTCTGAGCTCATCATCTGCTGCACAGTCACTTCAGGTTTACAGCTTTTTAGCAGCAGCAAACCTCACATTGTTTGTCATTCGGAGAGCAGAATAAACGCCGACCCAAACACCGAGAGCCGAGTGAAAGTGAGCTGCAGGCCTGATTCCTGAGCAACGTTTGATTCTTCACCCAACTGGATGAATTTTCTGCTCCTCTGCATGTTCTGCACTTCAAAGCGTTCTTCTGAGGCGCACCGGGCGTACAGCTGGAATACATGAAAACCATCAACACAGTCATCTGTCCATTTCACAGTGAGTCTGGTGAGGAGAAGTGATTTCTGAGTGGCAGCAGCGAAGGATTCCAGCTACCGGCAGACTCACAGCTGCAGTCGATCCTCATGGACTCGACTTTCTTAGAAAAAGTCACGTCTGTGTTTGTCGGTGCTGTGTGGGTTCAGGTTCGTGTCTCCTTAATAAATCCTGATGTCAGGTCTGCACAGGCACCGGACATGGAAGATAAAGGATGGAAAATCCAGTTAGTCTCAGCCTTTTGTGATTCGGATTTGATTTGTTTTTTGCCTGAATATGCTTTTAACAGCAGGGAGAAACTGGAGAACTTTACTTGTAGTTCGTCCTGGTTGCTAACTTGTACAAACAAAATAGTTTGTGTGAAGAAGATTATAGCTTGTGGGAACACATAAAGTAGAAAAATACCTTGTATAGCTGCTACTAGCAGAGACAAGAAAATCTTGTATGAACAAGACAATAATGTGCAAACATAATACTTTAGGCAATTTGGTGCAAAAGAATAAAATGCTAATTTAGCAAACATGCTAATGCCTTGTGTAGGCATGTCATTAACTTGTGCACACAGGCTAGTAACGTGGAAAGCATGCTAATAGCGCGTGTGAACGTGCTTGTAACTTCTGTGGACATGCTCATGACTTGTAACCATGCTAATACCATGCACAGACATGCTAATAACTTTTGCAGACATGCTAGTAAATTGTGAACATGCTAATGCCTTGTATGAAAGTGCTAATAACATGTGCAAACATGTTACGTGTGCAAACATACAAGGACGTTGTGCCGACATCATAAAAAGTCGTGCAAACATGCTAATAATTTGTGAACATACTAACAACAATAACTTGCCCAAACGTGTCACTTGTCAAAAATCCTGGAAAGCCAATGCAACATACGAGCAACTTGTGCAAACATGCTAATAACTTGTCCAAATATGCGAAGGACCTACATAAACATGCTAATCATGAGTGTAAACATTCACTGACTTGTGCACATGCTAGTACCGTGCTACATGCTAGTGACTTATTTGGATGCAGTGATGATTTCTTTGGTGTGACTCTGTCGTTTGGGGAATTTCAACGGGTTTGTTTCACACGAATCTGAGAGCAGACGTTTTGCAGACACACAGCAGAGCGTGAGGAAATGAGCTTAAACCGAAGGCAGCAGCGCTACATCTGAATGCAGACAGTTCGAGCAGGTTTGCACCTGTTTGAAAAGGAGGGCAGTGTTTGGAGGGAAGCGTTACAAAAGCTGAATGTAAAAGGGAGGAATAATGTTGTCAGCCTGAAAAACTGCACGCCTGATAAAAGACGGTAAAGTAACTCCACGATGTCAGATGTTTGGCTCGACATGGACTCGCCCGGCCCCTCATCCTCTGTGTGTGTGTTCATGTATCAACCTGATCTTCCAGTCTGCTGTAGTCTGATCTCTGCGTGTCCCAGTTCTCAGGGAAACCTGCTCCCATCCCACAATGCACCTGGACAAAGATGAAAGCACCGACTAACCCTCCTGACTCTGTCTCGTCTTCTCTCCCAGCAGCTTTATAAACAGAAGAACTAATCAGGACTGGAAACTACAGCTGGAGTCTGGACTTGTCCTTCTCCTCTACCTGGATTTGGACATTTCTCCCTCACTGATTGGCTCTGCTGTGAAGCTGCTTGTGATTGGACAGTCCAGAATTCAAGGTAAGGAGTCGCTCTTGTCTCCTTTTAACTGGGCTTTTAAATGTCTTTATGTTGTCTGTAACTGAAGATGTTTTTCTGTGTGGATCTGTCTTTTCTACTATTACTGTGAAAATTAAACCCCTTTCCTTCAGTTTTTACTCTTAAAAAGACCCTAAACAGTGCAGATAAACCCTTAATCTATTTTAATTAATCTATTTACACATTACCGAACACTAACTTTGGGGTGAAACCTGACATAATTATAAAATTTTGAACTTAAAATGTGCAAATGAGTGGACACCTGAACAGCTAGCGGTCACGTTTTAATGAGCTTTGATTGCTTGTAATGCATTAAGTGGTTTTTAATCCCTTTAATGTCATATAATTCCTTAATGTTACCCAAATGTTGTGTTGTATTATTGCACTGCAAATTCATTTAACAGTTAAACTTCCATATTAATATGCAGATGCAGGGATTTGTTGATGCCACGTCTTAAAAAAATGTTGATTTATGTAGATTTGAGGGGTAAATGAAGTGCTTCTGAAAGGTTGTATTGAGGGTTTGCCGGTGCATACAGTTTGCTGAATTGTTATCTTTGAAGGTTTTTATCAGTAAATCAGTTCCTGAACTCAGTTTTCGAGGCCGCGAGCTCTATAGCGAGATAAAGCATCAGCGAAACATCAGAAACAAACTGTGCGACGCAGGGAGCATAAATAAACAGAGTCAGAGAGCAATAAAGACAAAAAAAAAAAACAAGATTTAATTGAAAACAAAGCCAGCACAGCAAAACAAAGACATTTGTTCCTCTTATATATATATTTGCTCTGACAGTGTGATAAATGTCCTCAACCGACTGTGTTCAGGTTTGAACCAATCGCTGTGGTTCAGACTGAGACGTTCAGTGGCAGCGTGCACAGGAAATGTATTATTTATAGTGTAATAAAAGGGCCATCAGGAGAAAACGAAAAGGCTCAGGATCACTTGGAAAACAATCACTCTTTCTTCCCTTCCACACAGAACAGCAGGTCTTTGACCCGTAAACACAAAATGCAGAATTTCTGTGGTAACGCTGGATTTGCATAATCGGAGTTCAGTCGAGGAAACAGGCGCGTTGCATCTGCAAGACGTGTCCAAACTTCGGTGAAACCTGCAGAGTTTGTGTAGCTGACGTGACAAGCAGCGAGAAACGAGCGAGCAAACAGCGGAGGATGTGCACAGTGTGGGTCTGTGTGCCGAGTTGGAGTTTTCCCAGTTTGCCTCGGGGCGATGCGGCGATCCCACGGGAAAACTAGAGGTTAAAGACCTGCTTGAACTTGAAAACACACAGATGTGATATAATTCTGGATCAGAGATAAGAGCTCCTGCATGCCTGAAATAGTGAAAACCCACACACGGGCCACAGTTAATATTCTGTGTGCAGAGTGTGGGAGGAAAACAGGCGCTTTCTGGGGCTTTGCACCGCTAATCAACAGCCAGATCTCAGAATTAAGCAGCGTTTGGCCCAAATACAAGACCGATGATAGAAGACATGTCAGTTTGAAAGTGTTTATTCATTCTTTAGTAAATTAACTGTCAGAAAACTGTGACGAATATTATTATCTCTCCTGAATTTGTGAAAAGTTAGGAGACCTTAAAAAAAAATCCATATGTGAAACAGGACATTTGTAGAAATTTAAGCAGCATATTGACCCAAATACAAGACAGATGTTAGAAGACTTGTTAGTTTGAAGCAATTTATTAAGTATTCAGTAAATAAAATGTCAGAAAATGTCAGAAAATAATTGTACTTCTTTGTAATTTCTGAAAAGTTAGAAGACTTTACTGAAGTCAGTATGGAAATGAAGACATTTGTGTTAATTGTATAGAAATTGAGCAGCATGTTGGGCAAAATATGAGAAACAAACGATTAAAATCTAGTAATAAAATCTCAGAAAATGGTCCAAAAAATTTCTTTTTTCTAAATTTGTGAAAAGTTAGAAGACTTTAGTAAAGGCAGTATGGAAATGAAGACATTTGTAGAAATTGTATGAAAAATGAGGCACCATATTGGGCCAGAAATGAGACAGATGATGATGAAGTGCCAGTTTAAAATTATTTTTTTTAAATTATTGAGTAAACTAAATGTCAGAAAAATCTAAGTTTTCCCCATAATTTGTGAAAAGTGAGGAGACTCTTTAAAAGTCAGTATGGAAATGAGGACATCTGTTTGAATTGTCGAACAAATTAAGCAGCATATTGGCCCAAATATAAGCCTGATGAGGAAATGTCAGCTTCAAACTATTTATTCACTATTTAGCAAATGAAAAACAGAAAATGGTGAAAAAAATATTTTTTTCCTAACTTTGTGAAGAGTCAGGAGATTCTTCCATACGGGAATTTATTTAAAAAAAAAAATGGAATCATATTGTAAATGCTAGTTACCAAACTGATTATTAATGGTTAAAGAGCCCACACTGTGCCTATTTACAGTTTTAGAATTATATTTTTGGTGTCTACTAGAACAACGTACTGATGTGTTACATGGTTAAATATCAGAAGAACTCCTCAAATGTTTGTATGTTGGGAATCATTTTGGATTCACGGCAGTTTGTAAAGCAAAAGTTCATCTTCCAATGTCTCATTTTGTCCTGAAACCGAGATTAACGAGATTAAGTGTTTTGAGCAGAGAGCATTGTGGGAGTTTAGTTTAGTTACTTCTGTAAGCCTTAATGACCTCCGACCAGGACGCAAGTGTTAAATCATTCTTGAAAAGAACAAGGACAGTGTTTTTAGATTATTTATTTATTTTATTTATTTAACCTTTATTTATTATTTAGTATTATTATTTTATTTATCATCTCCCAGTAGCACATGAAAAACTTGTCTCTGTGGCTCATTTTACATTCTTGTATGTTAATAGATCTACATAAAGAATCGAGTTTAGTATTCTGTGGATACTATTTAAAACTGGTCCACTTCCATTCCCCTCATAGACTGTATAAAAGATGGACGTAGCAACCGGCCCTGAAAAATGAAGCCAACCCGGAAGTGTCAAAAACCTGCAATATCACTACGTCCACTAGCTGCTGGCTCCAAAAAGCCCTGGCTCCCATAGACTGGAATTGGAAAAGAAGTGATCACAGATCACGAAATACCGCATTCCTACAGCTCAGGATTTTTTTTCTTATTAGTTTTCATGGTGAAGTCCAGAGATCAGGTGGCCAATCTGAAAATAAATCAATACTGAATTTTTAAAAAATCATCAACATTTTGCGGGGCAAGGGGCGTGGCTGGCTTGATTGACAGTCGGCAGCGACCATACAGACGAAGCGAGCAGAAGGCGGTAAATGTGGGCGGGCAGAGAAGGCCCGCCTCTCAATCCATCTGACCAATCGCTGCTCCTATGGCTCCGCCCCCCTCCGACAATTTTTGCGTCACTGGCTCCAAAAATCCAAGATGTTCCCCTCTAAAGGCCGTCATGTCCAGATGTTGTAAACCACTAATGACACCACAAACACCAACGTGGTTTGGCAACATTTTGGTTTAGAAAATTATAAACGGGTTTAATGTCGGCTGGGTCGATATAAACCGACATAAAATCGCTCGACCGGATCTGTTCATCCACATCCACCACCAGCTTTAACCTGCAGCGTGTTTTACCTGCTGTTTGTTAGCTTTTATTTAGTGAGTTGTTGTTGTCTAGTAGGAAAATGTCCAACATTCAAATGAACAAGCCAAACATTTCAGCTGCGTTTTTGAAGAATGTTATCAAAGGTTTCAGTTGAACCTTTTTGTTCAAATCTGGGTTTTCTGGGTGTTTTCCTCCATTCAGAATGGCGGATTAGTTTACATTAGAATTTCTGTTTAATCAACAGGAAGCTTTGTGTAAAATGGACCTTTTTTTTTTTCCTTTCAACACAATAAACTTGTGATATTTTCCTTTGAAACGCCCAAACAAAGGGAACAACAACAACGTGTCCTCTGAATGAAAAGGTGTCCACGCCGTGTGTCGGGTTTGTGCTGATTTATGCGACACTTAACATCTCACTGACGTCGTCGGGTTCAAGTGTCGCCGCATGAATCTGCATGTTAACGAGGCGACAAAAAGTGGGCCTGAAAAAGAAAAAACCCGAAAACCAGTGAAGATGTTCAGTTGTCCTGATCAGCAGTGACGGCTCGGGAGGGGACGGTCCTGTTCAGACGGGAACGTTCGCTAATCAGCGCGTTAATGAACTCATTTAACGAGCTCATTAGCATAACAGGTTGCGTGTGATTCACCATCAGGTGCTGCAGCTTCCAGCGTTTCCTGTAAACACAGAAGAAAAGGACAGTTTCTGTGTTTTACAGATGATCTGAGTCGACCGAGACTTTGTGCTCTGGTTTTTATGTTGGGACCTGCAGACAGAGAGGACATTTAGAAACTGTGGACAATCATGGAGGGTTTGGACATTCATGGAGAGATGGGACATGTTTTGAAAAAAAAATTGAGACATGAGGGGAGTCATTAAAAATCGGCATATTTGTGGAAACTAAGGACATGTGTAGAAGTAAGGACAGTTAGAGTGAGAGAGAGTGAGGACATTCTTGTGATAAACAGAGACATTTTTGAGACATGGGGACATTCATGGAAGATGAAGACATTTGTGAAAGTCGGGACATTTTTAGTACAAAGTGGACTTTTTTGGAAAGTGAAGACATTCTTTGAGAAGTGGGTGCATTTGTAAAAAAGTGAGGACATTTATAAAAAAGTAGGACATTTTTTTGAGACATATGGACATTTGTGGAAAGGACGGAGAAGTTTGAGAACACTGACATTACTGAGTAGTGGGACATTTGTGGAAAATGAGTGTTGACATTTAGCAAAATGGGCACATTTATGAAGTGTGAGGACATTAAAAGGAAAATCTTAGAAATTGAGGACATTTCAAATAAAAAAGTGTGGACATTTGTGGAAAGACAGGACAAAAATTAGGCAGTTTTTGAGACGTGTGGGCAGTCGTTATAAACCAGCAGATTTATGGAAACTAAGGACATGTGTAGA